TTTCTGAGAAAACAAAGAGATCTAAAATTATAGATTACATTGCCAAGCAAAATAGTAGACAGGAATTTTTGCCTGTCTTAGGTTCTTACATTGATAAAGCTCATGTGGAACCCCTTCATCTAAAGAACAATCCTTGGCAGTACTTCTTTAAAGCAGTTTTGACAGAAGCTATAAGAAAATCTAACTAGGAAAGTTAAGATAGTGTAATTATTAGCAGCAGCTATAGGAAGCTAAGATAGTGTACTTATTAGCAGCAGCTAGGAGAGTTGAGGTAGTGTACTTATTAGCAGCAACCAGGAAGGTTAGGATATTGTACTTATTAGTAGCAGCTATACCAACTTAAGATAGCGTACTTATTAGTAGCAGCTGGGAATTTTAAGATAGTGTACTTATTAGCATCAGTTATAGGAACTTTACGATACAATGTAGTGTACAGTACTTATTAGCAGGAGCTAGGAACCTTAAGATAGTGCTAGTACTTATTAGCAGCAGCTAAGAACTTTAAAGACAATGTCCAGTCCATACTGTGCATTCTTGAGAGTTTCTTTGCATTTTTTTTGTTTTGTTTCATGGAAGACATCACAAAATGTAAACATTTTGCAATACTTACATGAAGTAAATTCAAAATTTCAAAACAACCACCATTATGGATGCGAAGCAGTAGAAGCTTTAGGCTTCATTCTTTCTTATATCACTTGATATAAAACAACTTCGCAGCTGTAAAAATCAATGAGGCTGTTGGAAAAAGAATTTGAAGGCCTCAAAGATAAGATATGTAGTTTGTGATGAGTAACCTTGAATACATTCCATTGAGTGAGCAATTGTAGTGTTTATAAACATTAGGGAGCTGAGACTGCGCAGTATGGACTGGAATTCATCTTTAAGATAGTGTACTTAATAGCAGCAGCTAGGAACTTTTAGATAGTGTTAGAATAAAATCCAGTTTGATCACCCTTCTGTTGGGTGGTTCTGTTTATAATTTGTCCCAACAAAACGAATCAAACTGATCAGGACTCAAACTCGAACCGATCAGCATTCAAACACTGTTTCCAATAGTGATAAAGTATGTACATGACATTTTCAGTGAAAAGAAATTCACAGAATTTTCATAACATTTTAGTATTGATAGGAATCATTGGTAACTGTGGAGAGTGGAGTACAATTAAGACCTAACAAGTAACTTCAAATAGGCCAAGTGCGTAATGCAAGGGAAATGTCTAATTACAAACAGCCTGAAATATACTCCACTCAGTCTAGTTCTCACTACTTATATGCTTATGAAAACGTGTAGCCAAATTCATCAATGAATTTGTAGTGGGCTTTCACCCCCCCCTTGCTGTGTCCTCTTGATAAATGTGATGGTGAAAGGCGTTTCAGAACTTATGAAAACTCTTGAAGTTCCTGTTCTTGTTCCTTTACTGTTCTTGATTAGGAATTCTTGGACTGAGTCACTGCTTAGCTCGGATAACTTGGCAAAATTGTGAATCAGTCTGTTCTCTCGGTCATAATATATCTGTGTACACCATAAGCGGAACCGGCCTTTTTTACACTCTGTAAAATTAAAGAGAAAATTCCCGAGGACATCGCCCGTTTGAACTCTACAGTCCAAATACTGCAGGCCTTAATTCTTGGACTGAGGAGCCTATGGAGCATCTTTAGCCAAATCTTGACTTCTCCTTCGAGGAGTGCTGATGCTGGAATTTGTGACATTTTAGCTCATTTCAAAGAGTTTTGGCTCACGCTTGTTTTTCAATAATTGAAGCAAGGGCTGCTTTTACTTCTTCAAACAAAAAGAAATTATCGACTTCATTATGTAGAGGACGCAGGGCCTTGGTAGCATTGAAAATAGCATTTTCAGCCACCATTTTGAAAATTGCTTTGTACTTTTATTTGTATTTCCACTGTACAATTTTAAACAACAGCGGGCAACAAAGTTCCCCTTCACAGCGCATTCCAGCCCGGTGTGTATTAAATATTTGCATAATTGAAGAGCACCCAAAGTATGCTCAAAATTTGATGGAGTAAGAACAAGAGGAAAGGAAGTAACATACAGATCAATTCAAGAGCATTGATCTTCAAGAAAAGTGTGTTTCTAAGATGGATCATACATAGTTCAGTTGTACAATTTTAACACCAAAGTTCTTGCTTCAAAAATGGCTCAAAAGTAATCAAAACTGATAAAGCAATGCTAAAAAGTCAGGACTGACTGTGTAAAAGTTAAATTTTGCTAATAAAAACTAAATAAATAATTCCAAACTTGAAAATTCATTCCTGTCAAAATGAGGTTGCCATGGAAACATCAAGTTCTGAGAATAATGACATGTAATCACATGTCATATCAAATTCACAGTTTTAACCTATGCAGTTGCAAAATTTGGCAGCGCTTACTTCAATATATATATTTAAAAAGTTCTTAACTGGTTTAAGTCAGGAAGGCAGGTCTGAACAGGGTTTAAGAACCCTTATTCATATGTACAACTTGTGCCAACCACATGAACCATTACTACTCAAAATAGCAAATGTCTCAGTTGTATGTCCAATGTTTGGTGGTTGTTTTTCAAAACCTCCAAGTTTAAGGCATTGGTCCACCTTTTCTTATGGCATCACCAACTTGTGACTTGACACTAGCATCAGCATATCGTTGGTAGCTATCCAACAATTTACCGTCATCCTGTAAGGTGGCTTTAACAGCAGGAGCATTCCTCACAGCTTCCCACCAAAGATGAAATCTCTCAAACTCTCCACTTTTAGGTACCTCAAAACCACGATAGTGCTTCAGAATAAAGAACCTTGCTACATGAGGAGCCAACATGATGTCAACAAATCCAAGCTTTTCACCTTGAAAAAACGGCCCCTTTGGATCCATCGCTTTCACCAGCTCAAGCAGTTCTCTTATCAACCGAGGCTTGATTCCCTGTTGTTCTGCCTCACTTTGTTTCATAAGAAGAGCATAAAACAATGGAGTAATTTTCTTGCCTATAAAATCTCCCCATATCCTTGCATGAGCTCTATGGTAAGGGTCTGTAGGTAGCAATCTTGGTTCAATGGGCCATGCTTCATCAACATACTCAATGCAGACTGGACTTTCATAAACTGTATTGTTGTTGTGAACAATGACAGGCACCATTCCTCGAGGATTGATGGAGAGCCATTCTGGGGTCTTGTTATAAGGGTCTTGTTCGATGTACTCAAAATCCACACCTTTGGCTTCCAGAGCAATCCATGCTCTTTGAGCAAAAGGACAAAACCATGCACAGTAAAGTTTTGGAATTCCCCCAGCCATAACAACTCGAATTGTGAATCCTGAAAGTGATATTTAGATACAAGCATTAGCTATTTTACCAAGGCACACGTAACTGAATCACATTTTTAGAAAAATATGCAATTGTAGGTTAAAACAGTGATTGAATGGATGCAATAGAGAGAAAGATGACTAACAACTCACAGTAATGAAGAAATCGATCTCTCTTTTGAACATGAACTGATAAATTTACCATTTAAATTTTGAACATTGAAAAAGCATTTAACAAGAGAGAGTGAAAGAAGAGGGTTGCTAATTATGCAATCCTTACTTTTTGGGGAAGCTTGTTGGAAAATACTCAAGGACAAGGTTGTAATGGGAGGATTTTGTCCATAGTCTCGACAGTTTGTCACCAGCCCAGTGTGATAAGCTATACATACTGTAAATCTTCAAATAAGCGCCCCTCCTATAGGCCAAAATTGAAAATAAGTGCCCCCTCCCCTCCCCACATTTTGTGGACAAGTAATGAAACAAAGGATGTATAGTTTTTGTTGTGTAGTATGGTGCCACGATTTAAACTTCAGGATCAGCTTTTTATGTCGATAAATGGCTTATGTTGTTGTTTACGTGCAGGTGATGTATTTAAAAGATGATCATGTCAGGCGCGGATCCATCGTTTTACAGAACTCGGGCAAATTTTCCAGAATAACTCGGAAACCCAGGAAAGGGGACTTAATGGAGTTGAAATCTAAAAATATTTCCTGGGGAAGTAGGACCCACCTCTAGTCTGAATTTCAGCCGTCTCTTTCCTTTACCCCGAGGGGGGCGTAAAGGGAAGAGACGGCTGAAATTCAGACTAGACCCACCTCTAGATCTAAGAAGCTTGCGCTTCGGCGCTCGCGCTCGTTGTTTCGGGAGTCGGACAACATTTATCCTAGATCTCCGCCTGCTTTCGATTACATCTCGGTTTATTTTTTGTCAAAGGCTAACAGCTAAGTCAACTTTAACCGTGATCCTACCTTCTCAGTGACTGCTCTTTTTCACAGAAACCTTCAGCTTCCATGCACTCCTAAGGCCAGTTGGCATGAGTCAGCAGCTGTAAGGCGTTGAGCCGTGGGGGCCTTGGGCACGAGAATTGCGAGGTCCGAGCTCCATAGAAATGCCACTTCTGGGGGTCCTTCTGGGGTAGTACTTGGTGTAACACCTCACTATTATGTCGGGTAGTACTTGGTGTAAGACCGCACTATTATGTCCCGAAATACACCCACACATTTCCTAATAGTGTAAGACCTCACTATTATGTCCCGAGATAGCACTTGTATAGTAGCTATAGTAGCTGTAGCAGCTGTCGTATCTGTAGTAGCTGTAGTATCTGTAATAGCCGTAGTAGCTGTAGTAACTGTCGTAGCTGTGGTATGTGTAGTAGCTGTAGTATGTGTAGTAGCTGTAGTATGTGTAGTAACTGTAGTAGCTGTAGTATCTGTAGTAGCTGTAGTATGTGTAATAGCCGTAGTAGCTGTAGTAACTGTAGTATCTGTTGTATCTGTAGTAGCTGTAGTAGCTGTAGTATCTGTTGTATCTGTAGTAGCTGTAGTAACTGTAGTATCTGTAGTATCTATAGTAGCTGTAGTATCTGTTGTATCTGTAGTAACTGTAGTAGCTGTAGTATGTGTAGTATCTGTAATATCTGTAGTAACTGTAGTAGCTGTAGTATCTAGTAGCTGTAGTAG